CACATAGCAGCGGGGGAAAAAGTCTAGTTTTCCAGTTTCTTTTACTATTCAAATGCAGAATGAAGTAAATGTGGAGTACATATCAAAAGTGTCATTTTAACTTGACAGGGTTCACAGTAGAGGAAAAAAAAATTTATTTCGTTTTCTTCTAATTGTTTTAACAAGCTATAGAGTCAGGGTCAATTGTTTGAAATATTATTGAACTGCTCTTTACAGAGCATATATTAAAAGAATCATGTGAGAATTTTCCAAATGGTAATACTGTTATATGGCAAACTCAAGAACATGGTGCAGTTGCATGGACCTCAGCCACACAGCAGCTGGGCATAAGGTCATTTCTACATATTTGAGAAGCTTTTACTGTGGCCAGAGAGAAAAACACACCCAGAGTTTACACCTTCCCACTAGGTACTTATGAAATTGAAGTCCATTCAGGTCATTTCAAACCATGGAATACAAGACCGATTTTTGTACTGCCTGTTGCAAGAGGCAGCTGAGATCTTATTAGAAGGGACTGTGCCTGTTACCCTGTTACCCTTGCTAGAGAACTATAGACAGTGAACACCAGGAAAAGCACAAGTAGAACTCAATTTCTTGTGATGTAGAGAAAAACCTGGCAGAGGAGCACTGAAACACTCCAACTCCATATCCTCCAAGTGGAAGCCAGATTGGTTGTGAGACAGGCATGTGATGGATGGGCTAGTAACTGGGCAAGAACAGGGAGACTGGGATCCTGCCCCCACTGCCACCCAAAATGAGCAGGGACACTCCATAACATCACCTCTGGACCTAAATTCCTCAATTATCAAATTAGAAATGGGGTCTAAACAGGATTTTTAAGCCAACCTCAAAAGGCCATATATTATGGGATTAAATTTACATAGCATTCTTGAAATGATAAAATCACAGAGTTCAAGACCACATCAGTGGTTTCCAGATGGGGATTAGGGAAGGGGGCAGCTCAAGGTCAGCTTGGGGGAACAGGGCAGTTCTGCCTCCTACTGGAGCAGCTGCTGACAAAAGTCTCCCCCTGTGGTGAGTGACGACGAGTGACAGTGGCGAGCACATACACATTCTTACAATCTTGGTATCAGGCTACACCTGTGTGAGATACAGCACGTGGGTGGCGGCCTGAGTGAAGGGCACATGAAATCTTTCTGCATTGTCTTGGTAACTTCTTACGAATTCATAATACCTCTGAAATGCAAAGGTTTATTTTTTAAAGGGTTTTTTTAGACTTTGAACTATCACACCCTAATATTTGTCCATGGACCCTATGATTTAAAATAGTTCATTGGCTAAATTGCATTTATTAAGATTATTCCCTTGTTTAAATTTATTGATCAAATATATATAAGTGTCTCACTTTCCAACTGATGCAACAATGTAATTTGCAGGCAGATCAAAAATACAGGTAAAATGAAAGCATCTGAGTCACAGAGGCACACAGAAGCATACTTCCTGTCATGCCAGGCCTTGGGAAAATTTTCTAACTATGATACAAAGGCAAGAAATATATTGTGCCAGCAAAATGCCAAAAAGGCTACAGATAGATTAAATGATAAAGAACAAACTGAAAAATATCTGCAGCCTATGTGCTAATTCAAAGGTATAAGTAAAGGACATTAATAAGGAATATTCCCAACCACACACCAAACACAAGTAGTTAATACCCATGTACAGGAACAATCATAAGTGACCAAAGAGCTGCAAACTAAAACAATCACCCCCACCTGAGACTGGCGGGGAGAAACCAGAGAACAAGGCAATATGAGCAACACAGCTGGGGTAGAAACTGACGCACACTTTCTCACGGTGGTCTGACAATGTACCTGGCGTGTCAACGGGCAAAACAGGCCCTGTTCACCCAGCAATTAGTTACCAGGCAATTACCTAAGATGAAAATGGCACAGGGTAAAAGATGGTAATAATGAAAGAAAAATGCATGCTCAAGACTCACCTGAGAAGTATTTTTTCATCAGGCAGAAAAAGTTGAAACAATCCTAAACACCCATCAACTGAAAACCAATGGGGTAAGATCTGTGGCCTGTACATGTGATGAGATGCTGTACAGGCTCTAAAGATGACAAAAGGACAGTCACTGACTGCCTGGGTCAGGACCCACAGCAACCAATCAAAAGCCACAACCAAGTCCACCACTCGCAGGCTATGTGCTATAGGCCCACTGCTGGGCCTCGCTGTCTCAGTTTCCTCTCCTATACGATGGGCATAATGACAGTGCCTTGTGTGAAGGTTGCCAGGAGAACTCCAAGAGTGATTAGCTATGAGACACTGAGAACAGCCTCTGTAACATAAAAAGTGTCAGAAAAAGCTCATTAGATGAAAAATACTGTCATAAAGAATGTGCCTGCCACATGGAGAACTAGAAATGACCACCGAAGAGCACAGCGACCCCATCCTGACGGCCCAGGCAGGGTGCACAACAGGAGGGGCTTCTCGGCCTCAGCAGCACAAAGGGCGCCAGGCCTGGTCAGCGAGATTGTGGGCCACTGTGGTTTTCTTCTTTGCGTTTTCTATGTCATTAAAAGAGAAAACAAAAAGTATAATCTCCAATTAGCACTCTCAAGACATTTTTGGAATGTAAGTTGCTGGGAGTTTTCTAGAAGTCTAGAAACAGATACACACGTACATACTCATAATAAACAGGTACGTGTACACATACGTGCATATGTTCACACATACACCTACAGATTTACTAGGAATTTACTAAAGAGCTATTTACAACAGCAAAAAAAAATCTGACGGAACCTGAACTTTCATCAGATGTACCACGGCTGGCAGCAAAACAAAGTCCTGCATAGCACGGGAAAATGGTACCACAGTGCCACATGGCAAGGGTCATTTGGTGAGGTGAAGGGGACACTGAAGGACTGATACACAAAGCAGACCCTGACCCTTGCAGCCAGGAACATCCACACACCTTATGACCCACTCACACTGTCCAAAGCCAGACCTAGGCCTGAGATTTGGGGATGGGAAAGGAAGAGGAATGTCTGGTGTTGCCAGAGTGCAATCCGTCGTCCCAGCCTAGTCACCAAGGTGGCTGGGTGCATCACAGAAAAGCCTGACAGGAGACACCTACAAGGCCCAGAAACAACACAGATGTGCGAGGAGACGGCACTAGACGGTCAGAGAACTGGGTTCTCAGAAAGACCAGGCAGAAACACAAACAGGGCAGCCTTGTCAGCCAAAGAAGGTCCTTCTGGCTAAAATGCAATGAGCATTAACTAGCTGTGCCGTAAAACGCGGGGCAGGCTGTGTGTGCATGTCTGTGTGTGACAGAGAGAGACTGGGACACATGGGGCAGGTTGTATGTGTGCATGTCTGTGTGTGACAGAGAGAGACTGGGACATCCTATCACCCAAGTGCAGAGACTGACAAAGCCAGGCAACAGGTCGGAGAAGGTGGGTGCTAGACTACTCCTCAATATTTCCTCTCTAAAACTGCTCTTATTCTCCAAAAGAACTTTAGGCTCCCAAACAGCACTGATCCTTCTGCAATCTTGCAGCTGCTGCCCACTCCTCTGACATGGCCACTGCCCGTACTGACTCAGGACCACTGTCCCCACTGCCGAGCTGGGACCTGGGCTGCTGCTTGTTAACCCTGCAGTGGTAAGGTTTCCACAGGCACTTTTCAGGAGAAGAACCACATCGTATATCTTCTACAACCTGCACAGATGTTGGCAATGAGCCTGGCCACCATCCTAGATGTTCATCAGTATTAGTTGATGAATTACTCAATAATCCATCCAATCTGTGCTAGGATTCTGCACACCAAGGGTCTGGCTTCACTGTTCGGAGGGAGGCATTTACAGTAAAGAGTTTAAGAGCAGAGGTTCAAAGTAGGATGGCCAGGGTTCAAAGGCCAAGTCCCCTGACTAAGAGACCTGGGACAAATTACTTCATCTTTCAGTGTCCAAGTGTATCCTTTAAAAATGAAAATAGTGCTGTCAATGTTTTGAACAACCAATAAAAAAAAAAAAAAAAAAAGAAAATAGTGCTGTCTCTGCATGGCCCTCAACAGCTAAAAGGACAGCTGGCTGATATTTACTGGGTACTTCTGTAAGGCTATGATGCTCTTTACAAGTCCTGTCTAATTTAATACTCAGAGCAACCACATGCAACAGTATTGCTTCCAGCCCCATGTTACAGACAAGGAGACTGAGCAGAGGCACAAGGGATTTAGAAGTGCTTAAGTGGGATTCCAACCCCAGGAGCCACATTCCAGAGCCAGAGTTTTTGACCTGAATGGCCTCTCATGCAGCAGGCTGAGCAAAGCAGGGAACACCAAGATCTTCCTAAACACGGGAGCAGCCTGAAATCTTGAAAAACAGCCCAGAAGCAAACAATAATTACAGAGCCACTGGAGGCCTCGTGCCTACAGCACAACCTTGCAACCTCGCTCCTCTGGGAAGGTGGCCTAAGAGGAGCTGTCCCCCAGCTGTCCTCCCTGCTGGAGGCCATTCCTCTTCAGCCCTTTGTAGGAGCTACTTCAGAGCTAACCTCCTCACCCCAGTCCTCAGCCACTGGTGGCCAATCAGGTTCCTAACACAGCTTTGAGTCCCCAAGTCATTCACACTATCCACATGGCCCTGTCCATCCTTAAGACAACCTCCCACCCATCAGCCAAATGCCAAACTGTGGCACCAGATTCACTGACTTTGTACCAGTACACTCTCTCCCAGGAACAATTTTCTATCCTTTGTCATTGTGCATTTTAAAACTCAATCTCCTTTCACAGAACATAAGCTCATCAAGGGTAGAAACTGTTTTACTCTCTCTACGACCCACCAAAGCACCACCAAGGCACCCTGGGCCTGCACCATGGGCTCCAGCTCACAGATGGTACATTAATTCGAAAGATTATACACAGTAATAGTCAGTAACCATTACTACTATTCCAAGTAGCAAGCAAAGCCGTAAGCAAGTATGCGTAGGTACATCTCTGTGAGAAACCACATGGTCACCTGGTCCGTTTACCTGCTTCTCCTTCCTCCTCACCCAAATTCAGCACAATGATGCAGATGTGCTTCCGCAGCTGGCGCGTGTTGGAGAACTTCCGACAGCACTTGCCACACTCCAGGCTGCTCGGGGTCAAGCCAGCCCCTTCCTCTGGAGCCAGTGGACCCTCGTCGCTAGGGTTCACAAAGTTTTCCACCAGCTCCTCTTCAGCACTGGGCTTCTTTGTGGACCCCTTAGGCCTGCCTCTCTTCCTCTTCATGACCAAAAACTCTGCAAAGGAAACAAGAGAGCAGGGTGGAGTGACACTGGGTGGCAAGGCAGGGCACGCACTCAATTTCTAAATGTAAGAATATGTTCAGGTCTCCCATTTTATCAAAAATGAAAGTCTAAAGAAGCCCTAGAAGGGCCCGGCTGCAGCAGCATCACCAGTCCTACTGTTCCTGTGCCTAAATGCTGATGGTACTGGATCTTATGATATTCTGCCTCAAGACTGTCGGGTGAACCTTTGCACATGCTCCTTCTGTGAAGCTTGAGAACTAAGCTGTGGCTGTTGGCCCCCAGACCAAAATCCTCGCTAACCACCACTTCCTTTTAAATCCAGATCTCGCTGCTTCTTGGCAAAGAGTTCTCAGACACTGCTGAGCTTGTCATACTCTTAATGAGTCAGACAACTATTCAGATTATTTCAAGAAGTCAAATTGTCCTGGTGAGAAAGAGAAAAAATAATTACAATCTAAAGCCACAAATTATAGGGCAAAGACAATAACAATATTTTTCAAGTTTCCTAGCGACCTACTGATTTTAAATGGCATGATCAGAGCTGCTTTAAAGCCAAGTTCCAAATCATTTTATAACATGCATTTCTTCTTGATTAGTGTTCATCTTTAAGGCTTTTATCTCTGAAATAAAGGTAGAAATTAAGAGCAAAGCAGGGTCGGGAAGCAGAGCAGCATGTACAGTCGTGCAAAGTGAAGCAGAAGATGTGACTTTGAGAGGAACCCCTGAAAGAGCCAACCAGGGGGCCACTCCTGGTCAGGCCGAAATCCCCAAGACCACAGCCATCTGTCTGACTAAAGAATGCAATCTGGGCAGTCCTCGGAATCTGGACAGCAGGGAAAAGGGAGGACTCCGGGTCCTGGCATCATTTTGGTTGAAGACTGGTCTATGGATGAGGATATCTTTGGGGGACCTTCCTGCTCTTTCTGAAGTTGTGGCTCTCTCTGCACAACGAAACACCAGCCACTTTACCCACTGCTAGCACCACAGAGATCCTTTAATGAAAAGGGTGGCCTGTGTTCATGGTCAGAGAGGGAGGCTATGGGGCAGAGTCTACAGGGAAGGCAGTTCACCTGCAGGCACTCTAGACAAGGAAGCCGACCTTGGCACTGGGTTCCCATGAACATAGAGAGGCGCCCATTCTCCTGGGGCAGGAGATTTCCAGGAGCAAAGCCTCTGCTGAGCTGCAATGCACAGGTCTGCCTTGGCTGAGGGTCCAACCACAGCCTCTTCAGCCACAGCAACAGGCACAATTACAAACCATAAAGGCACACTGAGAGTCCAGACAGAGCACGCAGCAGACCAGAGCCCTCAGTCCCTTCGCCAATACTGAACTTCCACAAGAAGACAAAGGCTGTTTCCAGGAGGACCAGCCCCCACATGTGGGGATGGGGGAGAGAAGGAATGCAGTGAGTAAGGAAAAAGTGTTTACCCCAAAGTCATTAAAACTTTTCCTATTATTATTCTTCAAAACAGCATGTACAACCTATTGAAGCAGTAATTGATATCAGAGCAGCAGAATTAGCAAAGTCTATGAAACACCCACCACATGTCACATTAGCTGAGCTGCACAAACATGGTTCATAACAGTCTATTGAAGTTTGTGGCCCAGATCTAACCCCAGTCATCAACTCTGGCATCCTGCCATGAAGAAGCCACTGCTCTGAAATGTTCTCTCAGGACACAGCTGCGTATTCAAGAATTAACCTAACTTAAGAGAGGTCCAGCCCTTTCTCTGGGTGACTTGGAGGGATCCCCAGACTCCTAGATGTCCCTCTGGATGGGAGGGTCTGTGTTTCCCTGGGGTCTTGGCCCCTGGATGATTGATGATGCTTCACCTTGGTTCCAGTACATCAGCTCCAACCTCCAGAGGCACTGGAGAGCAGTCACAACCTCAAGGAGGGTCTGGAGACCATTCAGGTGACTGTGTGTCACTGAGGCCCAATAGACACTCTGGACAGCCAAGGCTCTGTGAGCTTCCTGGATGGAGATTATCTTGCTGTTGTCATGCACTAAAGACAGAGGAGATGTCTAGGACTCCCTGAGGGGACCAAAAGGAAATAACAGAACTTTCCTTAGTTCTGTGAATTCTTGCAAATTATCAAGCCTAAAGAAAGCCCTAGAGATCCCCAAATTTGCAGCTAGCTGGTCAGAGAAGGTGGCCCTGGAGACCACCCCCCTGGGTTGTGGCTGGTGTCAGAAGCCTGTTGAGGACTTAGTCATGTGGCGCCCTGTGCTCCTAACCTGGAGTTTGGCAAACTGGCATGGCAAGTCCCCACGTTTTCTCACAACACACCTGAGCACACAGCCAAGAGCAGCAGTGCCAACTGTGCAAAAGACAGTTTGCTGGCAGCAGGCTGGGAATGCAGCCAGGGTGCCATCCAGCAGGGCTGTCTGGAAGTCTGTCTTCCCACAGAGTGGAGACTCCTTGAAGGCAGAGCCCCTGCCCTGCTGATGCCTCATCCACTCTGTACCTAGCCTGGTGCCCTGACCCAGTAAAGCTGGCTGAATTAAACTGATGAGCAAGGTGCAATCTGGTTGTCAAGGAAGAAACACAAAATCGGCCCTGAAAGCTTTGAAAAGCCTCAAACACAATGGTGACAAAACTAATCTCCCATCTTGGTACATCCATAATTCAGATCCTCAAGACCAATTAGTTAGCTAAAAATGAAATATTCATAAATGAACTTGGAATAATTTAAGCACTGGAAACGAGTTGCTACTGTCAACCACCCACATTTTATAAAAAGAGCTGAGAATCCTGGAACCAGGCAAGGAAAACGATGCAAGCTCTAAATCCAAACATTTGGAAGGAGCTAGTTGTCTATACTTCCTCTTCCTCCTGCCCAAATTCCTTTACTCAAGTGTCACTCAAATCTGGAGATTTTGTCACAAAAACATCTGCAGGGCAAACCCCTGTCCACCCAGGGCAACTGTGCCATCCCATGCCTGCACACAGTCTCCAGACTCCAAGGTGCCACTCCAGGTTCTCCCTGGCCCCAGCTCCTGTCTCCCTGTCATACCTTGGCTCTAGAATCTTCCATCATTCTGGATGACTCTACCCACATAAAAAGACCAGACTTCTAGGTATAACCCTAGAAACACACACACACACACACACACACAGAGCACCTCCCTCTCCCTGCCTCGCCCTCCACCCCTCAGTGCCCTCCCCTAGACATGCAGATAGTCCCTGTCCCTTTACTGACATGCAGTTCTAGTCCCCCTGCCTGTGACCATCTTCCTCATTCCCAATCAGACCCCTAACTCCAATTCACATCCCAACATTTCAGGTCCAGCTCAAGTCTCAGCACCTCCTCCCTAGGCCGTTTTAAGCAGGTCAGGCCCTCGCGAGCTGACCCACCTCACAACATGAACTCCTCATAGCAGAATGTGGACAGTTTCCTAATTATTGCCCTTTTCCTCTCCTTGCACTGTAAACCGTAAGGTTTGAGCTGGGCTCTCAATTCCTGGGTCCCACAGGAACTTAAACAGAGCTGAATATGGAATATTCATTTAATAAACACTTTGATCCACTATTTGATGACTGAAAAAGAGGCATTTGGAAAATAAGTCATTTCTTATGTTCCAAGTTTCCAATTAGAAAAACGGGGGCTGGACCATGGTGCATCTGAACCTGCTCTAATCCCACAGTCTAGGGACAACTCCCTCTTGTCAGAAAATCACCCATGCAGATCCCAAGAGAAAGCTGACAAGGGACAGAAAGCATGAGGCAAAGACTTTTTAATTCAATCAAGACATGAGCATCATGGAAAAATAGCCCAACATAATAAAAAATTTAATAATGAGTTCTTTATGTGCATCACTCAAGTTTGCAAGACACTTTCTCTGCTATTATCTCATTTTATTCTTAAAAATCTTATGAGACGAGTATAGCAAACATAACTTCTTCAACAGAAGAGGAAATGGGAGCCCAAATGTTCCAGTGGCTTGGCACCCCTTCCAGGGAGCCGCCGAGCTGCAACCCTGGGACCTGGGTTGCCTCATTCCAGCCAAACTGTTCCTGCCGAGTCACACCCACTATGGGTACTGAGGGTCATTTCCACACTAAAGGAGCCAATGCGCACGGCACAGAGCACACTGACTTGGAGTTACACAGACTTGGATTCAAATCCCCTCTGAGCCTCAGTTTCCAATGTGAAAAATGAACACAGAATTGTCCCTATTTTACAGAGTCACTGTTGACAACAGTGATCCACTATAGTCTGAGCATGGTACTGCGGGACTGATAAACAACTACTGTTTATTATTCTGGCCATGGTACCTAATATCCTGATTTGGAATTTCTCTTCCTAGCCAGTCCACTGTTAGATTATATGATTCCTTGATGTACATGCATTCTTGTTTATTCTGACTCGGTGCATGTTTTTTCCTTAATTTCTTCCTTTTACAATAGCTCATACACCAAGAAATCCAATATAATCAGGAGCACATCCATTTTCTTCTGCCTAAGAGCACAGATACACAGCCTCCTGGTGCTCTCACTTGGCAACTCAATCTCTAGTCACACCAGCTCCAGAATTTTGGAAGATCCTGAAAGACAAATATTTTAGAGCCCTGACAGTCAATCTCCCTGACATTTACATCCAAAGCCCAAAAAGCACTAGGGGAGACAATGAATTATTTATCAGAGAAGAGGAAGTGTGAGCCTCTCAGGTGTCTGGAGGATGCGCACCCCCTCGGTGGGCCAGACTACATCCTGCTCTGCAGCACCAGGCACCAGAGCCCAAGGCTTCCCAGGGCTCCAACGGCCCTGTGGTGGAAATGCCTCGTGAATGAGAGCAGTGACTAATCCAGCACCCAGACCTCAGGCACCACTGCCAAATATTTCACATGCATTTCCTCACTTAACACCCAAAGGTATCCTTAGTATTGTCCCCTTTACACAGTCAAGAACACTGAGGCATACAAAGATTAATTAATATGTCCCAAGCTCACAGAACAGAACAGTGCCAGAGGCAGGATTTGAAAAT